AGTGAAGTACAAACATAGTAGTGCTGCTAATGAAATTACACTTAAGGATATATCTCTCATAACTCCACCCATGTCATTAACTGAGATATGTGAAAGATCATACGCAGCACAAATACTAAGTTCACATCCCTGCATCTTCTCATTCCAACTTGGCACAAAATCTAAAACTGATCGTACCATGAAAATACGACTTTTAGTATATATACCTGACTAAGTAGTTTTGAATATGATATGATCTCCACCCCAGATGATGATGGAAGTGATGGAAATCTCCCATCTACAGCTCCAACTACCTACACCATACCCAAGCCAGATGAGGACAGATAAATTGCACCCGCCAACATCATAGTTAAGCACCATTTCGATCACCACAATGGGACAGTGTTGCATACCACAATTAAATGCAGCGAAGGAATCTCCGAAAAGAAGCGAAGCAACTGCAATTTGAAGACTAATGCCATAAATAAGAACCTCAACAGTGACTTCAAGGAACGCAATGTAGAGAAGAGAAAGGTGATCTATCGAGTACATCTCTTTCTATTTCCCCACGTGATGCTAGCCAAATTCCAGAATGTTAATGTTTTCAAAAGTTCTTTAAAAATATATAATCCACCTATGAAGTTGGGAAGTTAGGCTCTTTTAAATAGTCAGGATATTATGCTCTTTTAAATGGTCAGGAAGAGCATATACAAAATATGGCCAGTCGAAAGTAGATCCGAAACATCAGGTTCTCAATCCAAATGCCACAATTGTAGCAAGTAAAAAAATTGTGTTCCAATATTCTCTAAAGCCTATAATTGAAACTGCTTTCTTCTTCCACTCCCATGTCATCTCAATAGAACTTGAAAGTAAACTCACATGATTTATTGTTTCTGGCACACAAAATATAGCTTCAGTTGCTGCGTGGTTTGCAATATATTTTACAGCTTCTGGACCTACAAATTTTATGGCTTAGGAGTTTTAGCAATGTTGTAAGATCTTAAATGACTTTTATCCCAATAATGTCTGATTACCAACCAAGAGAATCATATAAAGGAACAGAAATATATGAATATGCAGAGCAGGCATGGTCGACTATCAGCCATTCTGGTCGATTCATGAAATACAAACCAACACAAGATCCCTGCCAAGAACCGAAGGAAACAAAATAATCAGTACATAAACAGAAAATATCAACTTCAATTGTTCCTAAAACTGAACAAGGAGATTAAGAAAGAGAACTGAAATCCTTCCAAAATGATTTAAAAAGCTGAGAAAGTAAGTTACCTTTGTTATCTTATGACAAACTAGTGCAGAACCAATCGCTGACCGTGCAGTACCTGCCTCCCCGTATGTCATCCATTTGTACCTGTAGAGTATTTTACATTGGATGAATATCCCTTGAAGATAAATCATAAACTCAATTACAGGCTTCCAATGGCTAATTACATACTGTCCTACAGTTCCATCTTCTCGAACTCGTGATCCTAAGTATTTGCAATCTGGAGACGCCTTAACCGAGCGCCTAACCAGACAAACAAATCAGAATTAAAAAAAACAATTCAAATTATGGTGAATCTTCTTTGAAAGTTATAGGTAAATGCAGAGTCGATTTCGCTGCTCACACGAAATTGTCATGTAAGGTACCAATTTCAGGATGATGTGCAAATCTACTAACAAGCTTCAACGGAGAGCGAGAAGATCTGCATTTAAGAAGAATTAAACCTCAGTTGTGCTTTAGAATACATAGAAGAGTTTGAACTAACTTTTTTAACCTGTACACATTCCATTTTCCTGTCTTCAGTTCCTCGGGGAGCGTATTACTAAATCCTTGCTCTAGTGAAAGTTCAATAATTAGCAAACAAACCGAAAACAAGTTAGTTTGATCACCAACTAATAAACTGAAACAAACATGGATATGTATAAAATGAAATGAATATGTAGCTGCATTATCAGTGGGCAAGAATACCGGAGAAGAATTTGCCGGCGGCATTTCTACGGCGGAAAAGTGACGGTTGATCCTGATCGCCGGCGGTGGTGGAAGCGAGTTGGTTTTGAATAGTTCGAAAACGACGTTCAGCTTTAGAATCCATCAGTTTAAACGACGTCGCTGGTGATTGTATTGTTTTTCCCACCAAAAATTTGCTGGTTAAGAATGCAACTACAAATGCATGTTACTGTTTGGGTTGCTAGTTTAAATATAATGTTACGTTAATTTTTTTATTTTATGTAACAATTAATTTTGTATGATGATTTTGTTATCGACTTTTCGTATGTATTTTTTTTGCTCATTTTAATCTTAAAAAGCAATTATTTGATAGCGGAATAAAATAAGTAGGATAGAATAAGTTCCAAACTCTTCATGATTTCATGCTTTGTTTGTGTTGATATTGTGCTCATGAAATATCTGTGGGAAAACTATACTTCCAAGGGTCTTTTAACTCGTGTTCAATTTCAATATTTTTGTTGTATAGGGTGGTGTGTTTGGTTTGAAACATAAATTGTCTTTCTAAAAATTTTCTAGTGTTTGGTAAGTAGGGCGGGGCTAGTAACGTTCTTCAACAGAAAATTATGTTCTCTGTTTAAAAAAAATGACTTAGTTTTACTTTTAGCCTGTTCCAAAATGATCATTTTTCGTTTTTGGCAACATGTTAATTTTAACTTTCCACGTGATATGTTTAAGGCCATAAGATTAAAGACATTTTTGGTACATTAAGCATAACTTTAATTTAGAATCACAAGATTAAAAAGTCCCTTTTATTTTTTAAACTCCGTTTCAAGTTAAATTCGATCATTTTTTTAAACGGACAGAGTACTATATATATATATATATATATTGAACTTCTTATATTTTAAACCGTTTTAATGAAAATTCTACGTCTGTTCTTATTGATAAGTAAAAAATGTATCATCACAAGAATATTCATTGCAATCTAGGAAAATACTATTAAAAAACAGAATAGGGTTGTCATAGGTGGTGGGAAAAATATAATAAACTTGGAATTTACTTATCGATATTCCATATTTTAAAAATTTGACTAATTTCAATTTATTGAAAATTTTCATTTTAGGATGTAGCCTTTCACCAAGACAATTTCATAGCGGAACTCTAATTAAAACCAATTCTAATTAATCTCCACTATAATATTTGATGATAACATGTCTTTATCTACCAACAAAGATTGAGATGGAGTGGCAACTGACAATTACTCCTTTATCCTTAATCAAGAGGTCTCGTATTCGAGTCCTTCTATTGTTTTACCCCTAATATAAATTTTTTCAATGCAATTTCAATTATAATTGACTAATCATATTTTAATATAAATATTGAAAACGGTATTAAAAAAAAAACAAAGTCTTTATCTACTATAATCAATAATATGAAAAAAAAAAAGGGAAAGTAGATAGATACTTTCATAGGTTTGGCATAAAACCAAATTAATAAAGCAAAAGTAGTAGTGAACATTTAATGATATAGCCACGTAAAAGTGTGTATAGTCAATTTGGTCTACCAACAATCAATGGCATTATTAAGGTTGCTTCAACTGGTTTGCTGAATGCTACGCCAATTTGGTTGGAAAATAAATGTGAAAACTGAAAAGACGTAGCGTGGAGGTAAAATGTACATAAATCATAGGTAATTTTTCAATATAACTAATCAAAACATAATTTATATGCATTCTAGTTGTTTTATTTTCCTTGCGCAAGGAAGATAAAAATAAATATTAATAACACCATCTAAATTCAAAAGGGCATATCCCATACAATAAAAATATTGAACGAAGCATTAGACATAATTTTAGTTTAGAACTTATTTTATAAAATTAATATGCCTTTTTAAATTTTTGATAATTTTTATTTTACCCTTTTAATTTCAGACTCATCAAATCTTTATAAAACTATACAACGTCAAATGAGACTAGAATTAGCAGAAAAAATATTTAAAAATTGCGAAGTGGAAACAAATTGACTGATTATTGCTCTCAAGCTGACCAAAGGGCATAGAGGTGTCACCTTCTTAATTTGTTGATACTTTTTTCAATGATTGTTTATAATTCAATATATAAAACTATTAATACATTTTAAGGAGAAAATACGCGGCTTAGCAAATTTATACTATTTAATTACTCTTCATAGCTATAGTTTGCTATAATTATCATTCGCGACTAACATTATACACTAATTACGTGGACTAATTTCGAATTTGTATAATTAGTCATATTGTATATGTATAATTCGTCACGATATACAAATAAATATGTATACTATACAAAATTTTAACCTATATATATATATACAATTCACCTCTCTCCCACTCTCTGCCCTCTCTCGCTCGACTCTCTCCTCCCTCTGTCAATCTCGCTCGCCTCTCTCCTCCCTCTCCCAATCTCCCTTGCCATTTATACAAATGTATATACAATTTTCTAATCTCGTTCGCCTCTCTCCTCGCTCTCTCGATCTCGCTTGCATCTCTCCTCTCTCTCCCAGTCTCGCTCGCCTATGTCGTCCCTCTCCCAATCTCTCTTGTCATATGTACAAATACATATTTATAATATACAATTATCTAACCAATATACATATACAATTCACCTTCCACTCTTTTCCCCCCTCTCTTGCCTCTCTCCTGGTCTCGTAGCTACAAATTGTAATTATAACTATGGAGGGTAATTAATTATTTTTAAATTGCTATAGGTAAAAATTTCCCTTGCATTGACATACAGACAAACCAAAATTAAATGTGTTAATAATTCACATTTACAATCTACTCGAACGTTTTAACTACAAATAACAGAATATAGTACAGTACAACATATCTGTCTTGTGCAAATTATTAATTCAGCAGTCGCAAACGCTTGTTTCTCCATGAAAGAATACTTCACTACGTATGGAAGTTGAGATATTCACAACCAAGAATAACTGCATTCTCTTTCGTAAAGGAAGGAGAACGAAGGCTGGAAATGCCAACAGGCTTCAAGTTGACCAAAAACTCGAAACTAACATAGTAATTACACGAGATTGTGCTCGTAATTCTAAAACAAGAATACCATTAAAGGCTGATGTTCCAAAAATCAGATTCAATAATTAAGGGACACTTTAACAGTTGAAGAAGAAACAATTTACACAGAGCATGAATTTCTTTAACTATATGATCAATTAGATGAACAGGCACTCCTCCACAGATAATTTCAAACTAAAAAATTCCACCACCAACCTATATACGGAATTGATCCCCAAATTAATCCTATGCATGATGGTAGAATCTACAAATACATCTACCAAGCCAAGACTGAAAAAACGTTGATATAGTCATTTTTGAGTCTGATGTTACTGCTGTCTCTCGTCATCTCCTAAAAGAGCTCCATCAACTGTTGTGCAACATCTGCAATAAAAAACATATAGCATTTTTAAGGGAGATTCAACACAAATTCCTTGTATATAAACAGAACCTTGGGGCTGATATTGTAGCCAATCAAAATATTCATGATAGACATTCAGAATCAGTTTCTGTTTATTTCAAGTCAAGTCTAGCTCTCCATTTGAAGAGCCACAAAAACTAGATGAAACTAGAACGGTCCAATTCCATCCTGTGTTGGGCATGATTGTCAGTTTCAGTTGAAGGTAAAACCCAGATTTTCGCAGTAACTATATAGCATAGCGAAAGTGGACAAAACATGGTGCTCCTTCATAGTGGGGTTAAAACAGCAGAAGGGGAACAGAAATACATGTAGAAAACAGTGGTAGAATGTGCAATTTAACATGCCAAAAAATTTGACTTCAAGCATTGAGTCAAAAATGTTAACACAATCAAGACACTTGTCTTTATGTTATGCATTAGTTCATAACCTAATAACCTAAATGGATCAGTCTGGTGTACTCCCAAACCAACCATTATCATGATCTAAATCTTAGCTCAAATCTATCTTCCAATGAATATTAAACCCCCCTAATTGAAGTCAAAACTGGAGAGACTACAATCCAAAAGGATTTGTGGTACTATGATTCAGAAAAGGAAACTAGATCTCAATAAATAAAAATACATGCAGCCAATAAAAACTAGCAACTACATTATGTCCTGTGATGTATAAATGTATACCTCTTAGTACATTTGGTGATGTTTGAAACTCTTTCCAGACAGAATGATGCGAAGCAAAATCCATGTTCAGAAATTTTGATGCAAGATATGCAGCCCCAGCAGCAATCTGATAAGGCTTGAACTGCAGCCAGAGTGAACTTCGGAGCCTGCAAAAGGAAATCGACTAAGAATAGGAGGAGATATTAATGCTTCACAAAAGTCACTTCCCTGAAAACTAAATGGATAGGAAACATCTGCAGCAACACCATATCATTTGATAGCCATATTTCAAGAACAGCATGGGATCCAAAACTTCTCAAAAGGCACATTGGCCAATACACAGTTACAAGAATACAAGTCTAATAAATTTACAGATCCATTAATAATTGTTTTGAGTCATGTGGAAAAGCCAAAAGAGCAAGCCGAGACAACTTTCTCTTACCAACTACGAAAGCAGCAACCGAGTTCTTCTGCACAGTGTTGAGAGAGAATGAAATATATAACAAACATGTTGTACCATATAGAGAGCACCAACACATAGTCCCAGCTCCGCTGCAGCAGCATTACCCCAAAATATATGCACCTCATATACCAAAATAGAAAGACAGAAGAAGCAACAACTGTTGCGTTCCTTTTTCACTATGATCCACAAATAAACAACAATGGAACTTGTGGACTTGCCAGCTCTGGCCCTCACTTCTAGTTTCACTCGTACTGTAGTACATATAAATAATTTCCTACCATATCCACCATGCACAAACTAACAAAATTGCCCAGAAATGGGACTCCACCATTCCTTACCCAAACAGAACCGACAATTAAGGCTAACCACTGCTCGATGTTAGGAAGACACTAACATGTCCAGTACAACTACGATATTTACCAATAAGTAGAACATTTTTCCCAAGTGAACTTCTCTGGCTACACGCCATCCTACAATCTTTGGAAAATATGCTACCCAATCCACTAACCAAACCAAAAGGATAAGACAGCGCGAGGAGTGAGGGCTCCTCATTGGGAATAACACTATAACACGTGTTGTGCACCTTATACCTATGTAGTTTTTTTTTTATGAAGTATATGTGTGTGTGTAGTATTACATATAGGGAGGGACTGTATATAAGGGAGTGTATATATGTGTGTGTTGTGCACCTTATACCTATGTAGTTTTTTTTAGGAAGTATGTGTGTGTGTGTAGTATTACATATAGGGAGGGAGTGTATATAGATTTGTAAGAATCTTCACCCGCAAAGATTGATAAGCATAAAAAATGCTTTCTAGCCACTATGGTGCTCACACTTAATTAAAAAAAAATTGGTAGGTACATATATTAGATAGTAAAGAGGTGCAAAATATTTAATGAGTAAATTTTACACATTAGAGCTCCACCTCACCACGGCAATTTTCTCTATGCATTACAAGGCCTTGCCATAAGAACCTTAAGAGAATGTCTCTGCTCTGAACAACAAACTTGAAACCAAGAAAAAAAAGTAATATAATATATATATAAATATCAATTACCTTATATAAGTAATATAGTGACTTCTTTTGTTGTGTGTTGCGGGTATATATAATAAAATAAAACTTGGGACATTGATTTTAAGTTACCAAGTAGTTGAGTAAAACTGCAGTAACACTTCCTTTCAATAATACTACTTGACCTCGGCAATTTTGTCAACCATCTTTGCCAGTACAAGTATACTTTTTTTTTGAGAATTAAAATGCTGTAGAGGGGATCCGAGCCGGTGTATGTGTACTTTTTTATAGGAGGACTTCCAATTTAGAGTTCCATCAAGCAACCAGAAGAGCTAAAATACTAGCATTTAACACCACTAATTGACTCCCAGGTACGAATCATTGCCACTTAAGTGCAGTAACCTAGCACATAGAGACAGACTACCAATAGCTGGCGCTAGCATACAGCAGCAAGGCATGGAAGAGGAGGGAGATTAGGTCCTCCAACATGTGCTCCGTCGACACAAACCAAGCTTGTCCATCGGAGTTAGTCACGTGTCCAAATGGAAAATAATGCATAGTCTAATGTCTTTTCAGAGATCAAGAAGAACAGAACCAGGGAAAAGATAGAAATCAAGCCTCATTATTCAATTGACCCTAATTGTAAGGGAATAGAGCAGCGCCTACTCAGATGCAGGTCTAAATGTCAATACATCTGTCAGTTGGACAATGAATATTATCCTACCAGAAGAACTCGAAAAGCTGGATTCAGCATGGGACTAGTAGCTGAAGGAAAAAAGATCAACATAATCAAGAAGAGAAGTAGGAAAAACTTCTGGTAATTTCTTCTTCTTCTATTCAAAAAGGAAGGATTGGGAGCAGCTAATAGAGTCTGGGAACCAAAACAGCAAGCCCCAGATCATGGCACACTTCATTAATAGGGGTCGGGTAATTACATGCTGTCGAGGAGTAAAGAAGAAATGGTACCAAAATTACTAAAAACAGAGGCACCATAATTTGGGAAAACAGTAGTCTGTTCAGTCCTGCTCTGCCACAAAGGTTACTATACCTTCAAGATGTTACTCTTTTTTATACCATGCTTAAGGAATAGTTTCTTTGTTCCAACAAGAAGAGTACTTCTAAAACCTGTATTGACCAGTTCAGAACCTGGACTACCCATACCCACCATTGGGGTGTCGAAAAAACACCACCAACCCTTAAAGAGTTCCCGGTCCAAATCACTAGCATCCTACGCGGACAACCTGTGGAATAGGCTACATGAAGAAAGTAAGTGCATGAGGACTCCACATCATTTGAACATGAAAAACATAAAGTATCATATAGCAGACTTCTGGAGCATCTTTGACATTCTTCTAGGTCAATGGCCATACTACTAAGATGTCGGCATGGAAAAGCATCCACAAGAAGTGGCTAGTTTTAACTTCAGACTGTAAAACAAAACATTTGATGTACAGCATATCAACCGCCAGCAAATATCATACAGGAGAGCAAGCTAATCCTTCTATAGACCCTGCAATTATATGGCAATCCAAAAGATCAATATCACCGGCCAGAGTAGCTAGAGCAGTCAAGGGAGAGAAAAACCATATTTACACGAGTTACAAGCAGTTGTAGACCTAAAATGAGTAATAAGTTGGATAAGAACTTGTCATCCAGATACCACGAAATATTGAATCACTTTAGATCATTTTGGTTGCGAATCTACGACCTCTGGAAAAGAAGCTATAATACCAAAATAAAATGCAACGCTCCAACAGAAATCAACTTCGATTCCAGAGGCAAATTATCAATCATATAGAGGTTAACAAACTTACCCTTCACTGACAAGATGTAGTGCCAGATTCACCAACACCGTTTCAGAGAGCCCTAATTTTTCAAGGGTGGACGTAAGAGATTCATATGGATGTTGGACAGTCAGTTCAAAATTTAGAGTGGTCAATATCATCTGTTCAGCCTCAGTAATGCGTTCACGGTACTGCTCAAACCAGTCCTGCAGAAAAACATCATTTAAATGGATAAGAAGTATGCTAAGAGCTTCACAATCTTGCCATACGAAGAATATTTGGATGATCAATAATGCACAAAGACAAAGCATAAATCCTAACCACGGGTAGAAAATATGAAAGAACTGCAAGATCCTGCTTGTGAAAAATTTCACATGAGGCCTTCAGAACATTGTTGAGAGGCCGTGCAGTCTCTTCTGATTTTGCCGCAAGAAAGAGAGCAGCAGTAGCAATCAACTGCATACATAGAAAAAATACTAACAATTAGCCAAGCATTTAACATAATGAAGCGGAAAGTTCAGAAGATAAAAAATATAGCAGATTTTAGCGCATAAAACAATGCACTTACAAATCTGTCATGACATGCATGTGATCGCCTCACAAAGAAGCGGTGACACAGAACCATGGCAGTTCCTATAGTGGTCTGTGGCCTGCAAGAAGGTACAAACAAAAATTAGTTCCATCGGAAAATAAATTCATAGGAACAAGTAACTTATGCTAGCAATCCTCCTGATAAAACTAGGAGAAGACAAGTACCCCAAAAGCTTAAGAGCCTGTTTGAAGTAAAGTTTTCAAACTTGTGTAAGATACAATGAATTTAAGCCCCAAACGGAAACTTACAGGTCCAAGCGAATTCCAAGGTTCTGAAGGAAAGCACAATATGAGTATCGAAGATGTGCTTCATGCATTGCATCAATACCATCTTTCCTGGATGGAGAGCATTTCTCAATTTCCTCTTTGGACATAAAGATATTATCAGTTTCAGTATCTTCAAGCCATGAGCGGTCACGCTTCGAACATGTGGGTGCGCTTGCATCAGAACGAGGTTTAGAAGTAGTGGCAGAATTATTGTTACGGACTGGATAGGCATCATCATAAGCTCTGGAATTCCTTAAAGGCACGTTATAGCATGTGCTTTGTCGCTTTGAAGGAACATCATTACATGCATAGGGTGCTTGAGAGTACCTGCCACTGCTTTCCCAACCAGAAGTTGAGCACCTCCTCCTCTTCGAAGAAGGTTCAGCCTCAGGCTTTATGAGATTATCATAACCGTAGCTATACTCGCTAAAATTTCTACCCACGTCATGGGAACTATTAGAGTTGAAAAAATGGGTATCAACAGTGTTATAATTGTTGTAAGCGGAGGAATGGACCATTCCTCTACTCTGGTTCCTGCCATAAAAAGACCTGGAGTCTCCACGAAAAGGGCCACCCTGTGAAAAGTAGGTCTGGGCGAGAGCCATGATTCCTGTTAAGTTCAAAAACAAATATCAGTACAAACTAAATTGCATCAATTTCTCCAAAGAAAGAAACAGATATTCAATCTGTTATTCTCAGCATACTAACATATAGTCTTAATCTCTTCAAGCATAGAGAGACAAACTTTCTTACTAAAATTACAGTTTTTTCAAACAAACTCAAATAGAGCAAAAAAATTAAGTCCTTTCCACAGAGCCAATTCCATCTACAATCCATTAACTAACACAAAGCCAAGTTCATCAGCCCTCAAACATGATAGCTGAACCTTTTGTATCCTAAATAAAACTAGACTCACATAGAACTACAATACGAGTAAGCTCAAATTAATTTTCATAAATACCATGAAACAGACAACAATGATTTTTTTTTCTATAATCTCATGAAACAACAATCAATCATCAGAATTTCATTAGCAGGAAAAAACACCTCACTCCACATCAAATTTAGTTTATAATTCACAAAAAATAAAGAAATAAACAAGACCCACCAATCGATCCAAACAAGTAATCCTGAATACTCCGAAAAAATCCCAAAAAAATTCAAGTTCCATTTTTTCCCAAAAAACTCACCAAACCGCAAAAATTACTCAAATTCATAAACTTAAGGATATTATCATCATCCAAAACGAAAATTTGAATTAACTCATAAACATATATTAGAAATACCAAAACTATCAAAGAAGTACCAATCTTGCAAGAAAAAAAGCCTCGTCAAAGCTACATATCACATAGATCCTCAAGAATCAAAAATTTAAAGGTATGATTATCAATCAAACGATAAACTAAAGTAGATAAAGATCTAAGTGGAAAAAAAGGGTAATTACCTTAATATCGCAAGAAAAAAGAGATCGAAAGACTCCGTTTTGGATCGGAAGAATCGGCGAATTTCACAATTAATAATGAGATGATGGAAAATAGTTACAGGTGATTGCTTGAGATTAGGGTTTGGTGAATTGGTGAAGATGGAAAACAAAGAGAATGAGAGAGAAGAGAGAATAATTGGGTAACTTATTTGGAATTTGCGAAGGAAACGGTTATTTATGTAATCACTTTTTCAGTCCACATAGCTATCCAATTAATTCAAATTCATATTATATAATATAATAAAAATTATTAGTGAAAATTATTTTTTATAGAAGATTTTTAAATATCTAGCGCAAAAATTTAAAACTTTAAATTAAGGATGAAACAATCATATCCCCGCAATTCCGCACCATATCTTTTGATAATCAATGTATATATCTTGATGACCTTTACGATATTTCTTTGTTAACTTTGTTTATTTATTTCTCACTCGAGATTTGATATAAATTTGTGTATTGTGTTACCTATTTTCTGAAAATAATGCTTTTTTTTCCGAGAATCGAAAATAATGCTTTCAATAAGATGTTTATCCATTTTCATAAATTTAATAAATAAAATATATCCAATTAAAAGTGACGAATCTAAATCATCTGTTGGTAACTTGTTAGATTATATTAGTCGAGTCTAGCTATTACACTATGTTTGGATCATTGTTATCCATTATATTGTATTGTATTGTTACTATACCTATAGTGTTTGTTTTGATTGTTACTTAAAATGTATTGTATTGTATTGTTAATTTTCTTTGTTACGTAACAATGGAAACTCTTATTTTATAGAACAATCGATTTGGTGTATTCTCATTGTTCCTTAATTTCTTTTTCAATTAAATCTTTACATAATATTTCAAAATACTATTTTACCATTTACCTTAATTATTTAAATCTAGTCAAACCTCCTACCCTAGAATAATTAAGAATAGTTAAGTAATTTTATAAATTACAATACAATACGATACAATTAAACCAAAACAATTAAAATGTTACTAAGCAACAACAAACAATACAATCTAACCAAACATTGTATCTATCATACAATTCAGTACAATACAATACAATACATTATGAAACAATGGGTAACAATGATCCAAACAAAGTGTTAGTCAACATACTTGCTATTCTCTCTGTCCATATTTATTTGTTTCCTTTTATATTTGTCCTTATTTACTTGTCCATTTTAACAAATCACAAAAGGCAATAATTTTTTTCCTAATATGTTATCATTTAATTCTAGAAACTTTTTAGTACTACTAAGTTCTAATGCATGCTTTTTGGAACCAGAAAATAAGTCTATTATTCATGAGGAGTTGCATAATCTTTTAAGTTAAGAGTAAAATTATAACTAACCTATGATAATTATTGGTGTCTTAATATGTGTGTCACTTCTAAAGTAGACAACTAAATAGGGATAGAGTGAGATTTTTTTTTTTATTAATCTGTTTATTTGATTAAATCTTAATACTAAATTTAAATAAATATTGAATATTTTTTAATCTAAAAGTCTTAAATTAAAGATAGGTATAATGAATCAAAATATTCATTAATATGTGGTCTTAAGCATATAATGTGAAAAATTGCAATTTAAAAGTTGTCAAAAAGGAAAAAAAACCTTTATTTCTAAAATGAATAAAAATAAAAATAAGACAAACAAATTAAAATAAGCAAGTATAAGTTATCTTTTAATTTATAATGATTATTTTTTAAAATTCTATAAAAATTTGACATTCTAGGGGAAAAAATTATAATATAGTTTAGGTAAAATCTTCTTTAGCACTCCTACTTTGATAATTTAATTATATTTTAATCTTTAAAGTAAAGGTATACCTAACCTAATGAGAAGACTTGTCTTTTCTTTATTCTTCATTCGAATGATAAAATTATGAATAAATTAAAAAGAAACTAAAACAAATTATAAGATTTTAACACTCTTATTTGGATACAAAATAAATAACTATGATAATATCAACAAAATTTATTCCTACTGTTTTTAGCAAACATATGATTCTTTCAAACTTTTTTTATTTATTTTTTTAATAAATTCTCTGTAACACTCATAGTTGGATTCTTTCCTTATGTTAGTTGAGTATGAATGTGTGTGCTATAATATAAATAAGATTTTTCATTTTTTATAATCTAATTTCTTGTTTAATATTCTCTAGTCATCCTACTCTAATTCTCTCCTAATCCTTAGATATATACCTAATCTAATTGGTCTTCACTCAACCTTTTTTTTTACATTGAAATGACAATTTGGTTAAATACAAGTCCTTTTATGAGATTTTCTATATTGTTTGTGTATAGATAATTGTAATAATATCAATAAGATTACAATTAACTAATAAAGATATGAATATATTATGGACTTATGTTCTATAATCTAATTTACATTTACATTCTTTAAGGATAATTAAAGTCCAATATATATGAGTGATCTTGTTTACAAAATAACAAAAAAATGTGTATTTGAGCTATTATGGTGATTAAGTGGCCAAAGGGACAAAAATGAAAAAGCCCAATAACATTACACTGATACAAGTTTTGGCCCATTAGTTTGGATAATTATTGATTGGGCCTAGTTGGGTACTTGTATGACAAGGATGAGACCAAACAAACATGGGCTGAAAGGCAAAAGCTAAGGGGAAGTTGCCAATATATACTATTCGTCCAACTAGTTTATCAAAAATGGAGCTCAAGCATGAAAGGAGTAGAGTATACACTACCTAAGATTGGTGCCTATAATTGAATGATATGATGTTGTTTATATCATTAATCTAGTAGGAACATTATCAAAAGTGTTTGTTTGATGAAATATTTAATTAATAAAAAATGCGTTAATTCGAATGTCAAAATAAAATATTTTTGATAAGTTTAAGAGGCTGATTGTGTATTAAGATTAATGGTGTATAGGGGGGGGGGGGTTAAAACTGCATTAAAGCTTTGTGGTGAAGTTGATATAGGAAGAAGCTAAGTGAATAAATTGGAGACAAAAAGAGACATTTAGTTGAGAAATTTAATTGAATTGAAGGAGGGAACAGTGCTATACATAAGTTGGCAATTAGTGTGGAATGGTTATTACTTCTTTCGTTTATTTTTATTTGTGATTAGTTTTTAAAATAGATCCTCATTTTTACTAGTCATTTTTTGACAAAAAATCATATTTTTTTCCACATTATACCATTAACATTTATTATTTATTTTAAGAGATACCCCCGTTCAACAGTAGTTGTTCCTATACTATTTTGGGATATCGAACAATACCTATCAACTTTATATAATTAATCGATAATCTTATACTAAATTCCTAATTTACTCTTATAATTAATTATAGTCATATATCTACTATATTTTCAAAACATTATATGTATTACTATATTCAAAGGGTAACATATAAAAGGGAAAATCCTATTGGCCAAAAATTTAGCTAGAATTTTGTTAGAATGATATTTTATCTATGTTATTTTTGAACATTTTTACCCTTTTAATTTTAATACATTTTAACTATATAAAAAAAAAGGAAAAGGGGTCATTTTATTTTAAAATAAAATAAATATTATAGTTTTTTTTTAATTTCTAGTCAAATCTTATGACCATTTAGCATTACCCATAATAAAATTAGAATAACTTGTTGAAATAGACGTCTTATGTTTCCTTACTTAATATCCTTATATTTCTAAAAACCTCTAAAAAAAATTATTTCTTTAATGTATCCGATCCATTATTTAATGTATCAGAGCTACATATTATGTATCTGGTTTATTTTATAATATATCCTACCTAGATTTTAATGTAGCGGAGCTACATATTATATATCCAATTTATGTTATAATTAATATATCGAAAATATTTTGTAATGTATCTGAACTACATATTAATGTATCAGATTTGTGTTATTCTTCAAGAGATTAATATAATTACAAATTAAAAAGGAATAAATTGTAATTTCATATTAAAATTATGTGATTCCTGAAATTTATCCAAATTATTCATCTCTTTATAATATCTTAAGTGAACGGATGGAGTATTACTCTTAGGGGTCGTTTGGTAAGCCGCATTAAAACAAATAGTCCATGTATTATAGATGATATTATTTAGTACTATGTTTGGTTGGAAATTGGGTCTATGTATAACTAATCCATTGATTAGTTATACCTCTTACATGGTATTATATGATGTATTACTAATACCTTCTATTTGGAGGTATTAGCAATACATGGGATATAATGTCATGGGATAAGTCACTAAAGACAAAAATATCCCTCAAAACATTTTAATTATTTTGTTTATTTTCTTGATTTTATGTTTTTTATGATTGTGCCAATTTATTTGAATAAATTAGCTTACAAATTACTCCCTCCGTCGGGAAATGTTTGTCATGTTGCGCTTATCGATAGTCAATTTGACTAATTTTTAAAGGTAAATTAGATCACATTAATTCGATATTTTAAATAAAAAATTAGATATTTTAAAACTATATGAAAAGTACTACAAATTACAATTTTTTGCATATTAATATGATGAAAAAATGCATCTTAAAATGTTAGTCAAAGTTTTTTTTAGTTTGACTCTAAAAATAGAAACCATGACAAACAATACCGGACGGAGGGAGTATTTAGAGAGAATAATTTGTAACAAATAACTTTCTCTAAATAATTTGTAAGCTTATTTATTTAAATAAATTTACTAGCACAACCATAAAACATAAAATCAAGAAAATAAACAAAATAATAAATGTTTGTGCGGTTTTCTAATATTTTGTATTTTGAACAATTTATAAAATTGTATACATATTAAAGTTACAACTTGCAATATTATGCGAAAATGTAGATGATTTATTTAATTTTACTATTGTTTATCGTCTTTTCAATTTTAAAAGTTTATAGTTTATCTTTTTTTAAATTGAAAATTGACATTTATAAGGGTTCAATTTACTAAAAATGACAATTATTTATCCTCAAATAATTTAAGTAAAAAAAAAATGCAAACTTGACAATAAAATTGTACTTTTCATAGCTAGTTAGAAGGCCATTAAAAAATATTGTACGACAATTATTTACCTTAACCCAATTGCATAATAATTCAAAGGTATAATTGGAAAGAAGTTTTTTATAAAGTTTTAATCCACACACATGTAGGAAACAATGAACCAAACACTTAGTAAAAATAATCCCTGCATTACTAATCTAACATTACTAATCCCTGCATT